ACTATTGCGATTACATTAGAAATTGTTTAATTTAGAAAAATTGTTAAGGTAACATTTATCAGCTTGCTTGAGGTCCACGTGAGAGCTTTGGGAAGGTCGTGTCCATATTCTTCGACAGTCTGACTAAATACAGATGTTCCTCGATTGTTTATATTTCGCTGAAATTTAACAGAAACAGCTTCAGGAAAAACCCAGAACGTCGAACGTAAAATAAAACGAAGCCTCTGACATATTCCTTCTACTACATACATAATGTATTATTGTTTCAATGCGACATTTTTCAAATATATCTGATTCTTCTCTTATTTTGTCATTTTATTTCGTTACATTAATTTTAGATTGTACTAAAGGAGAATCCAATCGTTTTCAATCATTATTCGACGTATGTATATAAGATATGCGTGTATCAGAAGGAATGTGTGAGAGGGTTTGTTCACGTATTCACATGTAAACAGTGCAACTTCTCAACGAATTTGTTCGCACGACTATAGTATATAAATGATATAAATGATATAAATTAATATAAAAATTACATACAAATTCTTCCACACATACAGGGTGAGGTAATAATTTTTCCCACCTCGAATATCTCCATTAATTTACAGTCACGTAAAAGACCCGTCAAAGTCGCACTGTTTACACATACATAAAGAAACTATTGTTCAATTCCTCGCTAAAATTTCTCCGAATACCTTCCTCCGACAAACTCGCACAAATCACTTCGACTCCCAAAACGATTCAACCGAACTTATCGAACCCAACCGCGCCCATGCTCGTTTACACCGCCAAACATCCGGCGTCCACACCCCACTCCCCACTCCCCCATCCATAGAATAAGAACCGAACCCGTCCCAAGTCTCGCGCGGTGATTCGAATTTCGCCCAGAATTAACACGCTCATCAATATTCATCAGGCCGGAGCTCGGACGGAAAACGCGAAACGAGCCCGGACGTTGACCGCCGAGCATGATCCGTAAAGCAAACCAAAGACTTACATAACGTCCCTGCACTGGCCGTTCGAGTCTGGCCTCTGTCCCGCGGGACACTCGAAAGCTGGAGGATCGATGATGGTCCTGGAGGTGATCGCCGGGATATCCCCGTCAAAACTCGCCTCGTTCTGATCCTTTTTATCATCCCTCGCCTTCTCGTACACCCCGTTCCCGCAATTCTTATTGTTCTCCATCGTGTTCTTGCCGTTCACCGCGTACTTGTACCCGACTTCGTACGTCAAATCGTCGTTATCCCGTTGCGCGTGGCTCTTGAGGAGTCGAATCGCGATCTGCGGTTCTCGTCGAAGCTCCGGCGACTGGGCCGACCTCCACCTGTCCGGCATATAAGCCACGAAGTCGTCGTTGGTCGACTCTGCGTCATCGAAATTCGGGGACCGGTGATACAATCCTCTGTTCTGGCTCACCGCCGATAACGCTACCGAGAACACGCCCGAGAATACGATAAGAACGAGGAGAACGTCGAACGAACGACGGTCTGTTAGGGCCGCGTACGAATCGCTCATGGTGTCTCCTGAAGTACCGATGGAACGAACGCGAGTTTATCGATTTATCGGTTAAACACGCGAGATACCCTCCGGAGGATTTCCTCGCCTGGCCGAGGTCTGTCGAGCGATCGATAGTACGCGGATCGAAGGATCGGGTCGCGGAGTGTTGAATCGCAGGACCAACTCGTTGGTAAACGATTGTTCGACTATGCTGAAGCGTTACGCCGGTCGATCGTCCGATTCGCGACTGCTGGCAGCTTGGCCAACCGCGCATCCGGTCTTCAACCGCAACGCTCTCGCGGGAACGAGATTAGATTTTTCTACGCTGTTTTCTGTCACCTTGCGCCCAAGTCGATCTCCCATTCCACCCTTCTGCTTTCGCATTTCGATTCGAAGATAATTGAAACGACGCAATCGACGTACCGATAAACCGCTGATAAAAGGAGACTCGCGAGATAAGCGAGGTTTCATCAGTTTCTTCTGGATCGAAATTAGGTGACTCCTCGGATAACGATGGGAACCGCGGTATCTGGTGTCGTCTATCGCTGGTGTCGTCTATTTGGAATCGTACCGATGATCGTTGGAATTTTATTCTCGTTTGTAGATAGATCGTAGTACTGGGAGACTGATTGTTCCACCTCGTACATTCATCGGGGCCTCTTCAGGTATTTGTGATAGGTTATGCCGAGGAGAGGATGAATCGTGTCCCGAAGTATCGTACTTTGATCGCGAGGTTTTCAAATCCGTTGAATTTTGATTGTTTCGGGAATTTTGATTGTTTTATAGGCAATTTCAATTTTCACGAGTACGAAGTTCCGCAGTTTGAAGTTAATATGCGAAGACTTCGGTACCAAGACTTTCGGTACCGTTAACAATTTTAGATGTATACAATTATTTCTATGTGTGAAAACGGTTTACTCACTCGAAGCTAAGGACACGTTCAATTTCAGTGAAAGAAGTATTTACTATGAAATGGTGGAGTCAATTTTATTTCAGCATAATATTAATATTATTTGTTCACAAAATAGAGAAAATATATAGCGATGGAGAAAATGTTCTATACTTTCATTAAAGTATGTTTTTCTTTAACAGAATTATCATTGGCATTATCGTTATTAACAAATTAAATTTTTGTTTGTTTTATACCTCAATGTCTGAATAATTACTCGAATAGTAAATGAATTTATTATTGCGATAATAAACCCGAAACAGACAACTATATAGAAATTTTATTCGAATAGTAGATAATAAACTCAACAAAGAATAATTTATTCTTCTCTGTCGAATAAATTGTCGTTAAGAAAATGTTTCGTTTGAACGTTTACCTTCTGTAGATAACTTTTTAATTGATTCCGAGAAAGATCGATTTAAAGATTTATTGTTCCTTTTGTTATCGTCGATGATACGTTATTAAACGAGTATTTATTGATTATTGAATTCCACCTGAGAGTTAAATTTATTTAGTTAATCTATATTTAGTTTTTTTTTCAATTGCCTATCAATGTTCAGACTTAAGATCGGATTAATTGTTTACTACGATACAATTCAAATACCGATCTTTTATTTGATTTCTATTGCGGTGAATTATAAGTTTATATCGAAGTATTATTGTATAATCTATTTATTGGATTAGGTTTCTGAGAAATCGGTCGCGCCTGGAATAACGAATTTAGATATGTCGCGAATGACGAGTATTGTAAATATTTAATCCTCACGGAGACCAATAATTATTTGCTCTCGTGCAGAACTCACGCATTACGAAATGCATCGTATTTTTAATGGATTTTGAAAGAAATCTTTTAAATAGAAGTGCCTGAAAAAGTACTTGATATAGCGGTTGCTTTGGAATGCTCTGGTGAGACTAAATAATAACAATTATAATTCTGAACGCGATATCAAGACACATCCTACAAAACAAAAATTGATAATTCGCGAATATAATAAAAATGTATACAATGTCTCTTTTGTCTGAAATATCGCACTACGATTATCACGTAAGTACGCGATTGACAGATATAGATGCTGAAAGGTGGTTTATCACAATCGTTTATCACAATCGTCATAGACATCCTTGCAATCGCGGTGCATCGATCTACGGGACCGTAAGAAACATTTCCGACTTTGAAAGTAATCGCTAAGCAGATAAAAGTATCAACACAGGAAATTATGGTAGAGAATACATCCAAACGTAGAATTATTTTTAAAACAAACGATAACGTGGATAAAAATGATAAGGAAATCCCAGCATTGTCAGAGATCGGTTAATTTCTCTACAGTTTATTACAACTTCAATGCCACGGATAATGTCTCGTAATTTGCTAATTACAATTACAGAAAATTAGAAGTAAACAAATTCTCGGAGTATATTATAAATGGAAAAATAACGGTTGAATTAATTACGTGCGAAATAAAAGTTACCTCGGTTGAAAGACAATTTGAATAATTTTATTCTACACATAGTTAATCGATTAATTTTCAAACGATCAGTTTTTAAGTGTCGCCTACTTGAAAACTGGTCTGTACATTCTTCCAACGCGGCGGGCCTTTTTGCAGCTTCGTCTACAGAGCATGCGTAATTTATTTTAGATAAATAACCCTTCGTTTCAGTCTTTATCGTGTCGCATTCTTCATTTCGCTTTCATTTTAAATACTCTTCCATGTGAAATTTAACACGTGTAATTTATTTTAGATAAATAACCCTTCGTCTCAGTCTTTATCGTGCCGCATTCTTCATTTCGCTTTCATTTTAAATACTCTTCCATGTGAAATTTAACATGTGTTTATTTCATTTTCATTTTAAATGACCACCGAAAAGTCAAGGATTGTTACGTCAGCTGACGCAGTGAATTCGCGTCGATAGAGAAGGCCTTGATCGATCGAATGACCGCGTCAGGAAATATTGCTGGTTTCAGAGTCTCTGCACGCGCGCGGGGGTATAACGCAGATGTGCAGGCAGCCTGAAATAATTTTCACCCCCTTCCCGTGGCTTGCGGGGCGGAACTGGCTAGGTTTGAATTTATGGCAGCGAAAGGCAACGCGATCAGTCGAACGTGCGGTCGTCTCGGCTCGTCGAACTCGTATGACGGAATTTCGAATCCGCTTCGCGTCACGTGCGCTCATTTTTTAACCGGTGACATCGCTCCGCAGCAATTTTGGCGACTCGTTCGTTACTTTTCGCTCTGTTCTTTCTACGCGTGCCTTGGGTCCGATTAAAAATTCTCTTAAGAGCTCTGACGGTTTAAAATAGTTCAAAAAAAAAAAAAAAAAGAAAAAAAGAAAAAAAGAAATTCCGTCGTAGTACGGATCAACATTTAGCGACGCAGAATCAAGAATAATGTTGGATACAAAGTTGCACAGAATCTTGAATGACACAATCATAGGCTTCAGGATGACGCGAGGTTCGGTATGATGTAAGATCCAGAATAACGTAAGATCCTGGGTAACCGATGACGTAGAATGGCGCAGGATGTAGAAGAATACGGAAGTTAGATTTGCTAACAAGAACGAAACTAAAATGAAAACCTGGGTAACTTGAGAGTTAAATAAAAACAAAATTATACGTAATAAATGAACCTAACACAAACGTGTCGTAAACCTTGGGCTTTACTTGTCGTTTTTCGATCGAATTAGAGCAACACATATATTAGGAAAAATAAGTCTGAGGAATTAAACAAGGGTTGTCATTCGTTTCTATCAGTTATCCCCGCGTTCTTTGTAAAAGGGTCGATACCTCGATTGCTATCGATCCTACCGGACATATGTATAGAACAGAAGAGTTGGTAAATTTAATTTTCAACAACTTTTGTTATGTACTTTTTGATCGTGGAAGGAACGGTAAGCGCGATATCGTTCATATCAGCCTCGGCGACCTCCCTTAAATCTAAACCTACCTAAACCTACTACTATTAATAGAATAATATAATCAAAAACGAACACTACGATAAGTAGCATCCACTGACACCGGCACTTTCTCGTTGCAGGTGGCGTGGAAAAATCGCAGTATGGTCAACTACCGAAGCAGATACTTAGTAAACACGGTTTCGAAGGGTGTCTCGCGTCGTTGGATCTCAGTGGCGAGAGCACCAACCTGATCTCCGATGCGGTGGTCCCAAGTTCCCTGGTGGAACCCGGCTGCGACATGTACGCCAGCCTTCACGCTGGAAAAAAGTGCACCCACGACCTGTGCTCGAATCATGGCACCTGTGTGCAACAATGGGACAGTTACACGTGCGACTGCGACATGACCAGTTTCACCGGGCCGACGTGTAACGATGGTAGAGATGAATATTCAAAAATTCCTTTCGTCGTTCCTATTCCTCGACCTCGGATGCACTTTTGCACTTTCTAAACGCCTACTGTACATCGTGGAACCTGGCTCTTTGTTTAACCCAAACGCTTGCAAAAGCATCTGTTTATTTTATGATTCTATTAGTCCTCGCTTACTTCGAAGTGTCTCGTTTCGAGCATAAATGAAAAATGTGAATTTATTATCGGTTAGTAACTTTGAATATTTATTCTAAATTTGTAGAGTTTTAGATCAAGTTAGAGTTTGCTTTCGACGCAAAGGTGCGGAGTAACGATATTTGTAACGTAATCTAGAGAAAGAGGCATGTTTCTTAATTCTAAATAATTATAACAGTTCAAATGGAATAATACACCTGCGAGATTTTAAAATGTCCTTTCACGTGTACGTCGTTAAAAATCTTGAATCCTTTTAATCCTCTCAATATACATGTATTCGTGATATTATCTGTTTCTTTAATTAATATTATTTTAATATCGTCTAGTGCCCGGTAATGAAATTTCACGATTAAGTGCATCGCGTAATTCGTGCCGCGGACCTTTCGTACCAGCCGAGCGAAAATTTATTAATATTTTTTTTTATAGAAAACACGAGCGAACAGCGTAGATAAATAGCACGATAAATTTATAAATATCGCACAAAAACGTAACATCGGTGCCATTATCTCTTCAAGGTTCCAGCTTTTAAAATGGTGTTTATTTGTTTGCATATTCCACATTAAAATGCAAAATACCTTTACTTTGTCGTTCCACGGTTGCGCGACGCGGCCAAATAAATTTGCCTATTTTATGAGCTGCGCCATAATCTGATTACTTGTATCTAAAGCACTCGCGTTGAGTGCTGGCCACGTCGCGGCTCTAAAAACACTCGTCGTGCATCAAAATATTTTTTAAAAAATTGTTGGATATTCAGCAAATTTCCGGAATAATATTAATTTCGTTAACAAAGAGATTGTCGCTCGATGCGAAGTATCATTCTTTAAATTCGCTCTGAACGTGGTTTAATTTGTTTCAAGGCCTCTTTTATTCCTGAATTCCTGGATTCCCGTATTGATTATTAATTCATCCGATCCGTTCTTTCTAATAAAAATACGGAACATCTCTGTTGCAGAGGCTGTGTCTTACGAATTTGGGGCGGGAAGAGGAATTATCACGTACACTTTCCCTCCCGACCGAAGGCCGGAAATGAAGAGAGACACGGTTGCCTTGGGCTTCGTCACTAGCGTAAACGACGCCGTGCTGCTCAGGATGGAATCCGCCGACAGCGACGACTACCTCGAAATTGAAATTGTTAGTAGCGACAGCGATTGCTGTTTCAATGCTAATCAATTTAAATAATTAATAACTAAATAATTAATTAGTTCTAAATGGTAGACAGAATGACTCGTCGCCTTTAAAGACGACGCGATTCTGGAAATACTACCTCGTAAGTGAGTAACAATCCTCTCGCAAGGTCCGATACGAGCCTTGTCTATTTTAAGAAAAATAAAGAACAATAGCACCTATAACTGATCAGAATTTAGAACAAATAATATCAGTCGAGCAACATACGAAACTGTAAATATTTGCTCTGTTGTGTACATAATGATAAATTGTTAAAGCCAAAGTCAACTAGAGCTTTCGTAGTACATATTGGTAGTAGAGATTACCACTAGATTAAAATGATTCAATAAACTCGAAGGTTCGAGTCTTATCGCTATTCCAATAAAGTCGGCTGCATAACTACAGAGGTTGATATAATTGTTATAATTGTTTTATTTCTGATTATTTCATCTAATACAAGGTAACATATTAGACTTTGATGCGAATAGAAAGAAAGTAATGTATCGTCGACATTTCGGTCTGTTTGTGGTGGTCTTCGGGAATATACAAAAATTCATTGTTTAGGTCAATTCTTTAAAAGAAGCCAATTTTAAACCAATTTCTTTAAAAATTACTCTTGGACAGTCGACGTACGATTTGCGTAATTTGTATATATTCCTGAAGATGATCACAACAATAAATACATATCTTTTTTTATTTTTTTATTTTTTTATTTCCCCATCAAGATCCTATAAGCTAATAAACACGTGACATTAGTTCGTGCTAGAAAGAATCTATGGTTCGAACTGTTTTACAATAGCAACGTATGCTTACGACAGTCCCTATAACAGAAATAGGTACAGTAGTCTTCGGGTTGTCACCCAGTTATACTTACTGTTTCCTGAAATTGTTCATACACGGAATAAGTGAGAGAATTGTGAGAACAAATTGAATTTGTTAATAAAATTCGAACGTTCCTGGTATAAGTTTTGTCATGAATCGAATATACATAATAAAATCGAAGCGGAGAAACGTAATTTATTATATACATCGATATTATCAGACAGATATTACAGATAAGATAGATATTATCTATTAAGAAAGTATCTACTAGTGCTTAAAAATAAATATATTTTCCAGAAGTGCATGTCATTTCAAGCAACTGAAAATCCGTGGGATAATTACAACTCTTGGCTGCAAAAAGAAACATTTATAATTACATGTAAATTTCGTTGATCGTATGTCAATACCAGACGTGGTAATTTTTCTCCGTAAATTACAACGCTTTGTTATTCATTTACAATTTCATACAATTTTGTAATATTTTTAACGAACTTTAAAAAAAATCCCGTGCGAGTGAAAATTATGCCTCGTAAGTTTGATTCGCATCGCACTGGAAATGTTGACAAAATCGAACAAAGTAGGTAATGTTTCGTATTTCGTTGTTTATTGTCTCTAAAAATTCAAATTGTTATCCGAGCAAATACAAAGACATCGATTTCAAGAGCGAAAATAGATAACAAATAGTATTCGTGTCACTAGCGATAAAACCCAATAATTAAAGCCACGAGAACAATCGTAATCCACTTGATTCGATAGAAACATGCAACAAACAGTAAGAATGCAAGTTCGAAGCAGAACACTCGCGATATTAATATCTGAGATGCGTATTAAATGTAGAACAAAATATTTGGACAATCTGGGAAGAAACGGTTGAACAGTTTAATAGTTTAATATTTTAGGATATTTTAATTCTTGAACTGTGTTACTGGTGTTTATGTATGAGAAATAAGGAATTACGAGAATCTTCGAGCCGATGTATACAATGATTAGAGGCTTGAAATTCAAATCAATGCACGCAGTTATTATCAAGAGAAAAATAACAGATACTCGGGCTGTTCTATTCATAGTTGTTAGTCATTTGAAATTAAATTCAGAGGAACACGCTAGACAAATTTACCCTAAACAGTATTAAAAACTCTTAATTGGTTAACTTCCAATTAAAAATATCTTCATTGAAAATCGAAGCACCAATGAAACCTACTATTTTATACTATTGATAAGAGGAGCAAGATAGAAAGGGACTAATAACAAATAAGAAATCGTCATGTATACAGTACTACCTTGCTTATTAAGCAAAACTTTTAGTTAAAAATACTTCAAATGGATTCACCATTACCAGTTTTCGTTCCTTCGTCCACTGTCCTCCTCAAACCTTTTAGGTTCACTCAATTCTAAGAACGAATTCTTTATTCGTAATAAAAACAAGACAAGACGAACTCTTGTACCTCTCTTCACGAAACCTGACTGCCTCGATTTGTTTTCAATGAAAGAGGCAATACTATAACTAGAAACGTGATAGTTGCAGTTGCATGTTCTAACTCTATGAACGACACTTGGATTGTTTCCAGGTGGAAGGCAACGTTTTCGTTGTTTACAACATGGGCACGAATGACCACCCGATCGGCGAGGTTGGCGTGAAAGTGAACGACAACCAGTATCACATCGTGAGGTTCAACAGGACTGGAGCGAACGGCACGCTGCAAGTAGACGATTACAATCTGCAGTCCAATCATCCGACCGGTAAGTGATCGTCTTCCTTCAATTTATTGTTACGTACAGCTTCACCCTGGAGAGACTGTATGCGAATTGCGATTAAATACGGAGCGGGCCACGAAGAACGAAACAGCAGAATTTCTTGTTTCGATTTCAAGAAAAACATTTTGCTGAATAAAGTTTGTGATAGAATTCAAAAGCTTTAAAAAGAGAAATATGACGAATATTTCGTATCGGAATATATTCTCAGCGAAAAATGTGCAAGTCACAGATGTATTGTTTTCTTCTCGGTTGTAGAAGCGACGCGATGTTAGAAAAGGAATGTTTCGAGTATTTACAACAATGGAAATACGTAATTAACGTAACGATCCATTTCTTATGGCTCACACTGTACATCGCGGTCCAGTCTCAATCATCGCGGTTCTACGTAGAAATTTGTGGATTAACCACGGAATCGTCGAAACAATCACGGTCACTCATTAATCCGCGGTTTGGTGTCCAAACCATCTCCCGTGGGAATTAGAATGGTTTATTGGACCACGTTTGATGCCGCTCCGTACCAGAGATGGGCAGACCTTTATTCGAATAACAGATGACGATTGAAACCAACATGGTACTCGTTTAATCGAACAGTCCACTTTTTATTTCGTCATTAAATACTCTACAGTCATTCTATATAGGTAACTCTGGAATATCATTCTACAATTAATTGAATTAATCGATGATACTATAATCATACTCTACGATTAACTCGTAATTCATATTTCACCGTTTCCTCGACTAGTATCGAACACTAACAACTTTGCCTTTTCTTCGACGTGTAACTTGTACTTCTACCGACACAAATACAGAGCACTAAAAGCAGTATAACGCCGTGGCAAATTTTATAAACTATTATTTTTACACATCACTGAGTACAAACAAATCACTCGAAAGTACTTCTGTATAATTTATCGTGTATTTAAAGTCTTTTTTGATATCTGACGAAGTGTCTGAGAGCCTCGACTGTGCAGGCAAAGACTGCACTCGGACTTTAAATAACAGTTTCGACGAAGGAACAGCGAAAGAGACGAAACTATGAACGCTGAAGAACGACCGACTGGTAGGACACAGTCTCTCGGGCCCCTTTATAAGCTTCTCTCGCACGATGGGCCCCATGAGCGTGGGAAACTGGACCCTCATTGGTTGCTCGAACGATCCCACGTGCTAACACGTTTTCATGGATGCATCGTTTATGGACATTGGCGTTGGCCTGGTCGTCATTTCCCGTGGGAAATTGATTACGATTCCCTGAGAACGATTGAATGCTGCTACTTACTTCCAGATTATCGATAGAGCGATGTTCGTGGAACGCATAAACGGATACATTGTCACGTACTCGTCGAATCAGGTCGATATCAGAGATACGATTCAAACAAAAATTTTTTAAAAAAATTCACAACAAAAACCAAAAGGTTACGTTCTTCGTCGATATCGACATTGATAGAAAAGCGAAGATTAAACTACACTCTAGATATTTCAAATGCTTTTTCGAACGATCCGGAATTGTGTAGTTTTTGTTCTATTTTAAAGGATCTTCTTGAGAGGACTTTTATTAAACGAAACATTTCTATAATTAATATGATTCAAAATAATAGCATCGAGATACTACGAAGATCTAAAGATCGCACGAGCTCCCTTGTTCGATTGTTTGGGTGTTTGGATCCTAGGACGCAGGTGCTTCAGACATTCATGCGACAAAAAAAAAAGTGAAAGCTAATTATCGTGCCTTAGAAGAGTAGGACAACACAATATCGTAGAGGTATTTTCCAAAAGTGCCCCTTGGACTCGTTCTTGAGGACCTAGGCACGCCGTTCTCCTATTCATCAGGTGAACCTCTTAAGCTTTGTAGGAGTATCGAATAGAAAATGTCGTTGGGTGTTATCGAGGTCCGTGGGGCCAAGAACACTTTCGGAAAATACCTCTGCGACATTCTGTCGACCTGTTTCTTCGGGACACGATAATTGGCTTTCACTTTTTTTGTCACGCGAACTTCTAAGGCACCTGTGGCGTTCGACCTTCCTAATTTCACGACACTCGCGTTTCCAGTTCATTGAATTACCTCTTGCAAGATTGCCTCGTCTCGAACAGTGAAACATACGGCGTACTTCAACATTTAATATAAATATTATTCTCTTCCGAATTTACAAACTCGTACAATCTTCGGTTTTAAACGAAATTAAGATGCACGGTGCGAGTCGCCTGACGTTACCACCTCGAACATCTTTGTTGTTTTTACAGATACGTCAAACATCACAAGGACGAAGTCGAATGGTTCTCGATGGGGTTCAAACGATGCATGAAACATTTTTTTTTTTTTAAGATATCAAGGTCACCTGCATTTTTTTAAACGGAACCAGACTTTTCGAAACACCAGCGATGATCATTAGAATCCTCTCATTAGAAATTCAACGACCGTAATTACTCAAAGTCATTCGAGGTCACCGTACACCAACAGATTCATTCGGCGCAGTTCCACGAACTCAAAGAGAAATGTTCCTCGACTCTGTATTTTCTGTTCGATAGACGATGGCCAACACTCGAAGAAAAGAATCGGCCGCCATTGCTCCAAAGTGTCTTCGGAAATCTTCCTTCGATGCTTTTCTGTTTTCCTGGCCCTCGCGGGCATGTTAATTGGCTCACAGAATTTTCCCGCGACCCCCATAAATCGCTGTCACCGAATTTCAAATGATTCGGCCGTTTACTAGGCGGCATTCCTAATAGCCTATTCCGTTCGTCGTCGCTAACGAGCGTTTTTTATCGTCCGAACTGATTCGTAACGTCGGAGTCATCGTCGGGAGCGAATTCGTGGGTGGAAAAACGCTGCCTCTTGGAGGTTCTGGTCCCCTGGAAAACTACCTATCGGGAATAATAAACTCTTTCTCGTTGATTACGACCGACGAGCTCCTCGAGCTACGAGTAACAACGTTCTCCTAGAGGTGTTCTCTCACCTGACGGGAAAATCGTGTCACGAATTTGAAAATTTCCTTGCGACGCTATTCCTCTTAAATCTCCTGACTCCCTGTTATAATAAGGACCGTTAATTGGCTTTCACATTTTTTTCTAACGCGCCTTTTTCCCCTACCACTCGATTTCTCGTGCTCCTGGTGCTCTGGTATGCTCTGCATTTAAAGTTCGTTTTTTTTTTTTTGTCTGTTGGTTCCGATTGCAAAGCTACCAGACGCGTTTTATCCAATTAGATCGTAATTAGGCTGCACGTCGCACGGATGTCAATTAACCCGCTCGAATTTTGTTTAAGAATACTTCTCGGCGCTTCTGATTCCCTTTCACGCGTCTACTCGAATGTCACCGACCTTATCGCGAGATCAATTAGGGGGAGGAAGGGCTTCCGGGCTTAGGGACAGCATAGAATCCTAGTAACCCGTACTTCGAGAAGTCCCTTTCACTTTTTCCCTGAAAAAAAAGAGATTATTGTTAAGCGCGATAGTCGAGCTTGGATTAAACATTAGGCAAAACACTAGAGCATCTGCGATCTTCAAATTCAACTTAAGCGTATTTGATACGTGGATAATAATGGAAACTTGAAGTTGTAAGCTTTTATGGAAGTACCGCGTATATTATATTAATTCAATTCGAATCGGAATTTCAACGTATTTATATCTTTCCTTCCGTTTAATTGCTGAAATTCCTCTCCGCGGAAATTTTACAAATTGAAAACGAGCAAGGACTCGTTAGGAAAAGTCTACCTCCAGCATTTTACTGCGGTCCCGATAGCCGAGTCGGAGATAATTGGTGTAACCATTAAGCGGTCATTTCCCTCTTAATTTCTCCCCCCGACCTTTCTGCTCGGTCGTTTCTTCGGCCGGTCTAAATTTTCCAAGGGCAATCGAGTTCCGAGCATTCATTCATGGACCGAGCCGAGACATTTGTACTCGACGAGACTCGTCAGGATTCATTTTCAGTACCCTAATGACGATTCTAACGAATGTCGATAGTACAGAAACTTGTAGTCGTTGCCTTTCCTCTGGAATTTTGAAGAGTTAGATAATAGGTATAGAAATAGAAGATAGTATTCATTGTGTGTGTGTGTTTGTGTTCGGTCATTTGTAACTCCACTTTAAACAGATATTGTTAGGTGCCTTGAAATGAAACACCAGTTAGATAAGATACTATTTATTTTTATGGTTGATCGAGCGAGAAGAGAACCTTGTTGCGCGAGTGCCGAGTTTTCTATGTTTTTCTATGTTTTTTTCATGGTCACGGACAGTTAAGGGCCTGACCCGACCTCTCTAGAATTTTTCGAGAGAAAGTTTCATGGCTTTGCCTAAGAAACGGAAAGTGGACACGTTGACTGACGTAAGCCAGTCTTCTTAACCATTTGCGTGATTTCATCGCATCGTTCTGTTGTTGGTCGACCGCGGCATCTTTCACGTAAAAATGTTGATAGAGCATTTTGTCCGTAAACACCATAAAGTTCACAAGCCTGCGTAGCATTCCCGAACCACGAAACGCAACGAACTTTTTCGAATACCCATTATTTACCGAAAACATGAGAAAAACCAACAAATTTGTTTCATTGCAAACCTAAGTAGTTTCTTACAGAAAACCTCGCGATCCACACGCTTGATACAGTATAATAAACGTGGGAATGCTCGGAACGGCACCGTTGATCGATACCTGAATATTTTTCTACTCGACGAGTCACAATTTCCACGCTTTTCCACCGGGAAATTCGCTCCGTCCGAGATTCCTCGCCGGTCATGTTTCCCTGTTCTCGCAAATAGCGGAAACGATAGATTTCTCAAAGAACCCTTCTCGGAATTGCGGTTAACGCGCCTGCGGTATGCTGCCCTGGTTGAAAAATAAACAGGATGCCAATAAATACATGTATACAACAGCGAACGGGAATTTTCGCGAAAGTTTGATCCTTAGAAAAACCCGCGACAAAGTAATTGGTGTAACCATTAACTCGTAATTGTTCGCAGGCGTAATTTATGATTCGGTTTTTCCACGCCTTGGAAACGGGG